AACCTTGGGTAACATGTTTTTATGGTGGCCCTGAGAGTTCAATGTATTGCAAGTTAAGAAAACACAAGCAAATACAGAAAATGCAACTTAAAAGTGATTATGATGTCTGCGCTACTTGCGGTGTATTTCTGTATTTGGTTGGGTTTACTCACTTTTCTCATTTTGTAGCATTTTTTCTAGATATTGCACATTTGTTGTCAAATTGCTGAAGATGCTTTTTGTTTATTTGCACATTTTCTTAAGTTGCCGTGCATTGAGCTCTGAGCACCACAATCATTTTTTCACTAAAAATGGACAATGAGTAACGTGTGACCTATCACAGAACCTCCTTGAAGGACGCTCTCCCAAGCATTACATTCATTTCCATGCTCAGTGTGTGTGCACAGTGAATGACTTGGGGGTTTTTTATGTATTCATAAAATGTATTTAACACATGGGGCTGAATAATTAACCGTTCTTTATCAAAATCAAAATCACAATTTGGATTTTTCAGTAGCTATACAGAGTGCAGTTATAATTCTTACACTTAACAAGCAGTAGGAAGTGAAAGTTCAGCCAGTGATTGTTCATTTCACCAGCTAATGATCACTGTGGCTGGTCGATTTATTCAGCTCTAGTTAATCAGCATTCATTCTGTAGGTTGAAAAATAAATACTGGCTTTTGTCCCATTCATATGTGTTTTTACTGCATACCAGTAACCAGTAGTAGACCACACTCTCCACAAATACTGACATCATGTGTATATCCACTACAGACTATTATAAATACATGATTCATATTCAGGACGATAATATAAGAGATCCTCAGAAAAGGATCTCAGGGGAGAATCTGGGATAAGGTTTCAGTTCAAGTCAGCAGAGGTCCATCTGCTACAGAAGAAGTGTGTTTAATGAGTCCTCTGTGGTCTCCAGGTTCCTTCAGCCTTTGGAGCCTTTGGACAGCGTCAATAAATGAATGACACCGCAGAGGACAAAAACAATTCCCACCGGCTTTTCTGCTACTTCTTTATCATCTTTGTCTGGGGACGGTTCACAGAATGTATTATGCTCTTTTCTATTTACAGCCACTTATTTCAAAATCATACAACAACGGCTACCTTATTCTCCTCCGCAGCAGTTGGGAGGTAACAGATTTGTTCAAGACTTTTGTCAAAAAGCATGTTGCTCATTCAATTCCTTGCTTCTCATGTCACTCACAGAGAATAGGGTAGGTAGGTTAAGTGTTTGGTGCAATCCACTGTGATCATGTACAGTATTAGTCCACCAACAAACTGTAACACCAAGCTTTCTCATATTTGCCTAAAAAAAACAAAGTTCAGTGTTAGACAAAACTTCTGTTTCTGTGCAGTTCTCTCCTTTGCTTTTACATGCCTTCTGAGGTGAAGGTAAAGACATGGACATGTTTGGCCAAAGTAATTGATTTTAAGAAATGATAAATATGGATTAACTGGAAGCCCTAGTTTGAATACTGTTTTTCTTTCTCTTTTTGAAACATGTATTAAGCTTTATCTCTGCTGCTACCATCTCATTCAGCAGTTAGTAGTTTTCTGGTGTCTTTTATTCACAAATAGCAGAATTAATGAAACATTTTTTTTTTTTGGATGTATGTAGCTACTTCAGTACAGTCACACAAGGCTTGAAGGTTTTAGGTCCACTGTCAATTGTTTTAAGATCCGCCTCCAGACATTTGCACAGATAGACACACATTATTGAGCCAAGCAGACTGATAATTCTTCCTGCAAAATGTTCACATTAAAATACCTAAAAAGGCATCTACTCTTTCTATCTCATTAAAATTTTCATAAACTAAGAATATGCAATGCAAAGAACATTTTATACAATGGAAGCTCAATGTGCTTCACTCACAAATATGGAAAAAATAGAACATGAATGCATATTTAAATACATGCAAGAAAAGAGAAAAAAATCCTAACGATTATTCAAGCTCTGTCCACCCACCAACATAAACATACCCACCCACACATACCCAAAAGAGAGACGAGAGACAGCCAGCCAGCCATAGGCCTGAGAGAACAGGTGGGTCTTAAACTTGCCTTTAAAAGACAGCACAGCTGTGGTAAATCTTATATCATCAGCAGTTGGTTCCAGAGAGTGGACCCATAGTGCACATTCACCAGATTTGCTTCTGATTATGGCTGCAGTTCGGAGACCAGTGTGTGATGATCAAATGGTTCTGGAAGGTTTGTAAGCAGTGAGAAGTCAGAGACTATTTAGGAGCTACAGTCTTTTTGGGAAGAAGGACATTACATTAGTCCAGCCTAGAGTATGTGAATGCACAAACCAGTTTTTCAGCGGCTGACTGAGACAAGGTGGATTTAACTTTAAAAATATTTTTTAGGTGATAAAATGCTAGTCCTATTTACACGTATGTAATGTAATGTAATGTGGCAAAGTTGAGTCCAGAATCCAAGATAACATGTAGATTTCTAACCTGCTCACTCACTTTTCAGAGATAGCAAGACCATTTCGAAGTGGATATCCTCTGAAGGCTCTCAGTCTTGTCTGTGTATGACTGCAGTAAAACTGGGGTCTGGACAGTTGTACTGTACAGTATCAGTGTATTTTGGGGGCCAAAGCACTGAAATAAGGTATTTAGTTTTGAAAACAATTCAGCTAAATATTACAAAAGCTTGGCTTAAACATGTAAAGTCACTGGTATGGTCCTTAAAGTCCACATTAGAGTTCAGGTAGCAGCTTTTCCACCAGCTTAAATGAACTTAATAAAACTGGCAAAAGCACCAGGGTTTGTGATCCATGCCAAGCAGATTAGGTGTGGAAGCGACCTTAAATGTCAATCATCTCTACAGTTTCTTTATGTTTTTAATATCAAAACCAAAAGTCTTTCCAACATTTTCCAAAAGAAGTTGGTGCAGCAGAACAAGTTCAAAGTATGTCAGGTAACTGTTGTTGCATTGCTTATCGTCTCAGCCAGAGCACAGTTGTTTTTGTGAGCGGAAGGACTCAAATAAATTAATCTGATGCCAGAAAAGGAACCCAGCACAGAGACCTGAGGAGTCCAGACATTACTGCTTGACCAGGCATCAAACGGACACAGTCATAGCCAGAAAATCACTCATTTAAGACCAGCACGCACGCACGCACGCACGCACACACACACACACACACACACACACACACACACACACACACACACACACACACACACACACACACACAATAGTTAATTACCAGCAATTTGGCTCAGGATCAGCTAAGGTCACAAAAACAACATATGACTTACCAACTCTTTAAATTATTGGGACACTTCTGACCTCATCCTGGGTTCATTCTCTTTTGGTTATTTTTGTTTTACCTGTGAATAAGTGAATTTCCAAAAGACAATGTAATGTTCCTTTGGTACAATAAATGACAACTTTTTGTGTTTGTGGCTGCCATGACAACTGAATATTTTATCTGGGATAAAAAGAATATCTCATATTGTCTTAATGGTGTTAGGTCCTCATGGTCCAAGGGAAACAAAGAAGAAATTTTGCAGCAATATTCAATGATTCAACAAACTTCAAAGGTCCAGTGTGAGACAGGATCTCTTGGCAGAACTTGAATATAATATGCATAGGTATCATTCATTCATTAGTGTATGAAAAATAAGAATAGTTTTTGTTACCTTAGATTACCTTACATTATTAACTACTGAGGGAGTGGGTTCTGAACCACCATGTTTCCACAGTAGCACAAACAGACAAACCAAACACTGGCTCTAAATAGGGCTGTTTGTGTATTTTGTGAGTTTTACGGCTAGTGTAGTTCATCCTACACGCTTGGGAAGGGTGAAGGTGTTGTAACCTAATCGGTCTAATCTGATAGGTTACACTGGAGTTAGATGAAAGCCCCCTGCATCTCAAAGTAACGCTACAGGGTACCTTGTGCGTCTCAATAGAGATGCAGAGGGGTGGGACAAAACGGAAAGAGAACGGGCTCGTATGACTTGTGTCTTTCACATATCTCGAGGACTGTTCATCTGATCAACTTCACGCCTGATGGGTGTATTGTTGAGGAGTAAAGGGAGTGCAGTGTTGAGTCGATTGGATGAGCTGTTCTCGAGAACACTGCAAGCAGCACTGTCGCAGAGGCATGTGTTGCAAGTACCTGAGAAAGCTGCAAGATAAAGTAACTTTACACAACTGTATACAGACAGCTGCGTAGGGAATTAAGTGATGAGTTCAAGTAACAAGCAACTCTGGCAGACTGTTAACACTGTTTACACAAAGACTTAACTTTGGTGACATTCGTTTGGAATACTTGAAACAGAGCTGATTCCGATACTTCAACTTAAAAAAAGAAATCAACTGTTGAAATGTGTTGCAAGTACCCCAGTGTTTGTGCATTAAGGTACAGTCACATTATTGCAGGTTGGAGTAGTAATAAGAAACGTTATTCTAGGGATTCAGTCACATGAAGCACACTGTCACACTGCAGCAGCATCACTCTCACACACTCTGTTTTCACTGTGCTCAAAGGGCCGACTTATTTACTCCCCACATTGGAACCATGATACCACTGTGTTTGGCCCAATTGTTTCATTGGACAGAAGCTGACTCTACCTCCTTCATGGGGAAGGTAATATGAGTACAGTTACATGTTGCATGGGGGGGGGGGGCATGTGTTTCCCTCTTTAGATGTTTAACTGCAGGTTCTGCTTCATCATCCCTCAGAATCAAACAGTCCAAACACAGATGACACACAGTATAAACACACACACGTGCTGTATATATGCACAGTAATGTAAAGCTTGTCAGCAGGCACACACGCGCGCGCGCGCCCGCGCACATACGGCACACACAAACATACAGCAGTTCGCCTTCCTGATCCCAATCCCGATCCAAATGCGCATACAAGATGGGTAACCGGGGGCGGGTGGGGGGGTGAGCGAGTACCGTATCAATGTGTCCGAGAGAGAGAGAGAGAGAGAGAGAGAGAGAGAGAGAGAGAGAGAGAGAGAGAGAACGAGAGAGAGAGAAAAGAATGGAAGAAAGCGCAGCGCCTGGCTGCATCTTTATCCCAGCAGACCCCTCCTCTCTCTCTCTCTCTCTCTCTCTCTCTCTCTCTCTCTCTCTCTCTCTGTCTGCCTGCCAGCTGATGGTGACTGGAGGTGAAGCGGTTTTTCTCTCCCCTCGTCATCCCGGGGAAACCTGGACGGACGGACTGACCCAGGCTACTACTTGGTGATGACAGCGGGAGCAAACTGCGAATTTAAAGAAAACAAACCAAAACGGAGAGAGACAGCGGACAGAAGCCAAGACAGTGCACAGTAACGCGGAGGGAAACAACAACTTCCAGCGGTTGTGTCCTCGGGCCGGTCTGCGGGGAGCTGCTGCCACCACAAAGGTAGGATACTGACCAGCCTGCTGCAACAATGCAAGAACATTCACAGCATGAATGCACACGTACGTATATGTGCATGTATGCAAATATATGCATCTGTGTCCCGGACCACCACAGTGCGCACTGCGTGTGAAACGCGCCCTGCAGTCTGCCCCAGTGTTTACGTTGAGCTGCTTCAGCTGATAGGTTGTCATAACACACTGTATAGATACTGATGGCGCGTGGCGCGGCGCGTGCGTGACGTACTTCTATTTTAAAGTGTTGTATCTGCGTGGTGTGTTTGAGTGTGTTCACTTGTAACACTTGCTTCATCTTGTGGTACGTTTGAGTCACGGCGCGCGTGGGGAAGAAATGTGGAAGTTGGGTGCATTTAAATGTGTTTAATTCAAGCACTCGATTAAGGTGCAAGGACTTCAAGTGTGTGTGTGTGTGTGTGTGTGTGTGTGTGTGTGGAGCTGGTGGAGGTTTTGTTTATGTGCTTTCTTGCAACACTTTCTCATGGCGTCTTTACTGTAAGAGTGTGTGAGTTAGTGTTACTGAGTGACTGTTGTTACTACTGTGGCACTTTGCAGCAGGTCTGTATGGAAGTGTGTTAATGACAAAACTCTGCAGAAAACAGCAGAGAAAGGAGCCGATTTACGAGAACTCACACAGCTCAGCAAAGTCTTACTGTTTGACAGTGTTACTAGATGGTTGGTAAGAATTTTTGTTTTACCTGTTACAATGAAGCACATGCTTCGTTATCAGTCTTGAATTTTTGACTTTCACAGCTAAAATATGTCTGTGAACAAATGACCTGAAGTGACTTTGAAGGTGGAGTCTCACAGAATGAAATCCAGTGGAGTTTTGCTGTCAGGTGAACTTTCCACGTGAGGGATATAAATGAAGAGCAAGCAGCTGAATAGGTCTCGTACAAGGAGTTACTCACCCTGAAAACATCTCCTATCCTCATGATTCTGTCCTCACTTGTCCTCAAAATGATGAACTGAATTACTGAGTGCATGTTGTTTTTGAGGCTGTTTGCTCAGTTTTACCATTACGTGACTCATAGATCTGAAGTGGCTCTTTAAGTATGAATGGAAGGAATGCATTAGGTCTGCAGGTTATTATAGGAAACTTAAACTTGCAGTTTTAGTCACTTAGTTTCTTTATCTAATATTAAATATATATTTGCCCAAACAGTCTTAGCTTAAAGTCCACTTACTTGCTCCAAAGCTTTCGACTGTAACAACCAGTCTTTATCAGCAGATGAAGTTAGCTCAGTTGGACCTGTAGATATTCAAACTTTCAATTATTCTAAGCACCTCTATGACTTATTGTCTGTGTTGGCTTAAAGGTCGAGCATTAAACAAAGAATAGATGTTCAACTATTCAGACATCGTCTGCAGTATCCTCTCTTTGCAGATGCATTAATTCAACACGTTCTCACTGCCAACTTGTCAAAGATGGAAGCTTTGTCGATGGCCCCACGCTCCAAACTAGGATGCTGTCAGACCCTCTACTGTCAGTTTTGCGTGTGCAGGGCTCTGCGGTCAAGTAAGCAACATTAATATGCAACATCTGGTCAAGTTAGCAATAACATGCTGTTAGACTTTCAAAATAACGCTTGCTGAGAAATAGGTTGACCCATCCACCCCGACCTCCCACTTCATACCATGTCACCTGACTTCAGTGGCATATCAAAACAGCAAGTCCAGAAATTATGCTATACGGTTCTATACTAGAACCCTGCAGGTAGGGTTCTAGTTTGAAGTGTAGGGCCACTGACCAAGCTGCAGTATTTCACTACTTGAGAGTGAGATTGGGCTAATGAAGTCATTAGGGCTGCCCCTCAGTAAAGATTTTCCTAGTCGACAAGTAGTTGTTATTTAAAGCTAACTGCCAACTAGTGGTCATGTATTTATTATAGTAATTTAATTATTTACATAAATATATATCTATATTTTATCAGCTGCCTTTTAAATGCTTACGGCTAACGTGGTCATTTTTTTTACAGTAAAATTTCGTTGATTCAACACAGTTTAACATCATACGAGTCATGCTGTTCAAAACATGGAACTTTCAACTTCACAAAAACAAATGGACTTCTCAACACGATGGATGATGCATAACATTAACAGTTACTTACAAATTAACTTGCTGCAAACTCGCTCCTTACCAGATTCATGCATGTCCTGTAACCGTCAGTCACGTATTCGTCCTCACTGGGTCTGACCGGAATCCTAGCCTCTATCGGTCTTGGACGCCGTGAACCTAAGTCTGTTGAGTGTTCACCCGGCTCCGGTTCTGGTGCTCATTCTCATATGCTAGTAGTGTAAACAGAGCTTCCCCTGTCCTTCGAGCTCCCAGTCCGGGTAGAGAAAAGGCCAAGGTGCAGCTCCTGAACAGAGTTTGACTTCTTTATTTTTTTTCTATGACTACTATTTTACTGTTTGGTGATAAGTGGGTCGACTAAGAGTCTTCTTAAGGATGCAAGCATATCTGTGACATTTTCCAGTCTTCAGTAATGACTTGTAACTAATACCACATAAAAAAGAACACAGTAACTTGTCACATGCAAAAGGTGTTTGTGACAGAGCTGTCAACTGAGAGAGCAGCAAAGTCAGAAGTTATGTGAACTTTGTGTATTGTTTTTAATCATGAGTCTCAGTGGAAAACAGTTCACTGACAGCCCACAGTGACCTTACAGTCACTATGGGGAACCCTGACTCAGAATAGGAGTTTGTTGTCATGACTCATGAGACAGACCTGTTGATGGGCTGACGTGCAGCTAGAAAATGAATGAAAACAGAATGGAAAGAGAAATCTGTGACATTAGAGAAGCCAGTGAAGCAATTGTATCATTGTTAAACTGTACTTGAAGTCCATAAAAAGCATGCTGAACCTCTGTATATCTCTCTCCTGGGCGTATGTGCTTGCTCAATAGAGGCTCATGTCAGCCTGCAGTTACAGGCCTTTAAAGGGAAGTAATCTGCTGCTTAATTTAAGAGCAGAAGGTTTGCTGATGTAGCTGGATGATCATCCTGGCATCTTTCACTGTCTTCTGTTTCTGTGTATTGTACTTGCAACAGAAGTGATTGTCCACCAAAGCAACGTGCCCGCATTTTGTTCCTTACAATATGTACACTCAACTCATGATTCGATACAATTCACAGGTTCACAATATGATTTTTCTCACATTTTTTTTTAACAAATTGAGATCGAAGACAAATTATGAATGAAGAAGATTAATTTATAATAGAAATATATTTTCTCTTATATTTTATTTATCAAATTATTTAATAATATTTTCTGAGGTAGGGAATAAACGGTGCAAAACAATGCATATTTCCTTTTCTTTGCAAACATGAAAATAATGTCTCTGCGCCTCAATACCGCTACTGACAATAGTGATATGGGACGTAAAACAAGCAAAGTCAAATGTAGATGGTGCCCTGTGCTGTTCCACAATTCATTTTTCATCACAGCGATTTGGCCATATCTTGACATTTCTACCTCCTAAGTGTTTTCTTTTCTTCTTTCCTGGCTCATGCCTCAGCCAGGAAAGCTCTACAGTGTATTGTCATTTTCTACACCAGTGAGTGAATGGTGCTCCACTACACTCCAGAGGATTCAACCAGTTTGGCTAATCTGTGCACTGCTTTTTGCCAGAGTATGAGGCAGCGTAGGACATTTGTTTTAAGTTCTATGTTGGATCTGATATTTGCTACCACAGACATAACACAAACCAGGATTATGTTTTTTTATGTAGACCTAACTGTAAGCATTTGGACAACTGTGAACAAGCTGAAGGGTTGAAAATAAGCAGAGACCAAATCTTCCCCCACAGTTTACCTGAACTGTATGGGCTTATTAACAACTGTTTGCATTATGGGCTTCCTCTGCGGAGGCGCTTTCTGAGCCTACAGATATCCAGCAGAAAGCATTGTTCTGCAACATCCTGATCTCTTGTGTGTATATTTAGTTAGCAATATGTAATGGTAGCTTGTTCATCCTGACGGTCTCTCTTTGTGAATATTTATTGTTTTTTTCCCCCTTCATTATTGTAGTAATTCTTCCTCCATGGGTCACATTGAGGCTACATTCAAATGAACTTTAGCCATGCTTGTAAAAACAGAACCACATCATTAATTTTAATGAGGCCAGTGCGCAGAGCAATTTGACGTCATCCGATCGTGCAATGGGGCTGTTGCTTAAATTTAAGTTTTCGTTCAAACGTGGGAAAAATATAGAATATTAAAACTGTAAATACATGCTTGAATTCAAAATGTACAGCCTGTAGGTGCAGGCTGAGTGACGGTTTTAAGTAGTTTGTCTTGTTGTTCAACAGCTGACCACCACCAGCCGAACATTTACCCTCAGTTTGCCATTTTGCATGATCTGTTGACCAGCAAACTTAACAGTAAACTATGGTAAGGTAAGTTGCAGTTGGTCCTTAGTGAACTGCTTTAGCAAGTTTCGTCTTTAATCTTTTTGCGTGTTTTTTGATTATCTGCTCTAGCTTGTCAAACCCTTGCCTTACGTATACGGTAATAATAATGGTCCATAATTAGTTTTAGTAGGAGAGGAACACCAACCCCCCAACACACGTGCACATATGTTTTCAAACCTGGGAAAATGCCGAAATTGTAAGCAGCTCCAACGCACATGAATACAGGCCAGCATAGCTTACCTTAAATGCCGCACGACAACAGTGCCACTGCAGAAAACAATTCTAAGGGAAACACTGGTTATTCCAACTGTTTATCTCTCAGTCACCACGATAAAATATATATTTGCTGCCACCAAAGCAGCACCTTGCGTTGTTTTAATATGGGGATGTTTCCGTCTGAATGTCTAAATATAGAAGTGTTTCTATATTACATTATTACTGCAACTGGGCTGGGCATATCACATATAACCTTTGTTTCAGCAGCACTATTTGTACTGTAGACAAACAGGTGGATCTAGAGAAATTGAGAAATTAAAGCATTGAATAGAATTATTTAAAGGTGGCATTAAAAAAAATTAATACATTTGTAAAAATGTATTTTTCATTGAACTTGACCACTTATTCTGAAATATGGCCATAACTAATCATTAAATTTCTGTTTTTTATCACTGATTTTTACTTTTAGAATTAAAAAAATAAAAAAATGTGTTCAATTTGACATCTTTTGACAACAAGCTGAAGTGGCAGCTGGAGTGGCCAGGGTTTTTTTTTTTTTAGCTGCCACCCCATGCCACCCCTCTACATCCACACCGGTGGACAAAGCTGACCTGGTGTGTGACATGACCCAGCAGAAAGACAAAATAAAAATGACAAAATAAAAAAAAGCAGGGATAGCTGGACTGATCGTACCAGTTTGAGTGCACACTTGTTACAAGTCACCTCCAGGCACAATCACCCTAGCAGTTGATAGAAACACCAAACGACACACATGAATCAGACAAGACAAATTAATTCATCAAAATAACACAAATGCCATCTGAGGTTGGAAACAGTCATGAAATACCACAATGAATCAGAGTTACTGCTGCTTGATTAATTATGTCATCTCATTGTGTCGTTTTGTATGTATTCACATCACTACGTGATCCATGTTAAATTTTTCAAACCTTTTAGGAAAAAAGGTTTACGACAGATAATTATAGAAATCACTCTGGGTATCATGACTTCATAACCTAGACACACTGAGTAAACAGTATTTGAAGTGTAAACCAGTTGCTGCAGCTTTACTTCCCAACATCTATCTTGCAGTGTTGAATGCTATAAGAGTAATAAAAACATCAGTCTCATTAGTGCTTTGTGTCCTCTCACACAGAGCAGAGGTGGTACAGGGGCCCACCCAGAGTGGCACTGCAGCCTTACATGGACACACACTTCAGGCGCTAAGTTTAACTGCTTATTCATCAAATCTTAGGGAGCCAAAACACACACACACACACACACACACACACACACACACACTTTCAATCTCTGCTGCAGCAGCAAAGATTGAACCTGGAAAATAAAACACACTGTGTCTAGATGAGGGCGGTGGATGGATGTGAGGAGGAAAGGAAAAAGAGATGTCAACAGAGGGGGTGGGGTGATGAAGGGATGGAAGGAAGAGAGAAGAAGATATTAGAGCATATATAACCCATGTGTATTGAGCCTGGCAGTAACCCCGGGGAGATTCACCAGCACAGCAGAGTTACTCTGCTGTTTTGATTTGATGAATATTCATAATCAGGCTGAGAGAGAGGGAAGGAGCCTGGTTCATGGCAGCATTTTGACGTGTTGCTGCTGCAGCTGACATTAAGGGGTGTTGAGTATCGCATGTGTAACAATATATTACACAGGCTATGGCATTGTCTATATCAACCACTTTTGTCCAGAAACTATTAAAAGCACATTAATACCATGTTCCTTAATTTAAAAAAGAACATGAGCACTGTAGTTTAAACTAGATCAGTCTCTTATACACCTTCATCCCTCCATCTCCTGAGGCGAATCCAGGTTCCAGTCCCAGTGGAAGCAGGCTAAGCAAGGTAGCCCAGGAGTTCTTCCACGTCCTCCAGCTCTTCCTAGGGGATCCCAAGGTGTACCCACAACAGATGGGATATAATCCCTCTAGTGTGTTCGGGGTGTGCCCTGGAGTCTCCTCCCAGTTGGACGTTCCTGAAATACCTCCGCAGGAAGGTGTTCAAGTTAAGAGACATACAACTCAGATTCCCAAACCACCTCAACTTGCTCCTTTTCAGCGTGAAGCCACAGTAGTTCTACCTTGATCTCCTTCCGCAGTTTTTACCATGTCCTTAAGGGTGAGTCCCAACACCCTGTGAAGGAAACCCATTTCAGCTGCTTGTAAAAGGAGCTCATGATCGTAGACGAGGAAGCAGATTGACCAGCACATTGAGAGCTTCACCCTCAGGCTTAGCTCCCTCTTCTGACACCACACCAACCCACTCACATCTGTCTTATGCTCCATCTTATCCCCACTTGTGAGACCCCAAGATGCTTCAACTCTTTCAGGAACATTTTCCAGCAAACTACCATAGTCTCAGACGTGTATGTGCTGACTGCAAACTGCCCCACAGCAAAACCATGTTATTTATAAAAAGAAAAAGATGCACTAAACCAGCTTTCAGTGATATACTCATACTCATACTGACTAGCATACCAAATTGATTAGCCTGGTTCGAGACTTTTGAATCACAACCCACATCTTAGATTTGTTCAGCAATTAAAAAAGATCTGCTGTTGTTCACATTGAGTTAGAGTTACTCTTAACCAATCAGCTTATAAGGTTTGATTAGGCCTTCCTACCTGCTATCTCCCCTCACTTTTGTTTGATTCTCATTTTTAGTTAACTGTCCCTGTTGCTGGATAAAATTATGTCAGCAACAACAGATTCATTTCATAGCGGCTAACATGAGAAGTCTGGTTTATGTACCACATGGCAGTGTACCAGCGTGTGGGGTTGAACTACAACAGACAGAGTGGTGACTCGTCTACAGAGAAATGATTAGCTAATCACCTAACCATCGATTAAATGTCAACAAAAACCCTCTTCTACCCTCTTTAGTGACCACACCAGGCTGAATAAATGAACTGAAGCAACAGCAATTCAGTCCGATTATCAGGTTTACAATGCGTTTTAATCCATAGCTAGTAGTCTTATCCTACTCTTTGATTCAGGTAAAAAACTAAAAACTCTTATATGTATTTGTGACCCGTTTTTTTTACTATTTAAATAATTAATTAGGAATTGATGGGCTTTGGACTGATGGCCTCACACAGAGGTCAAATTATTGAGAGATGGACTTGTTGGTTTTGGTCGTGGACAAAAAGACAAATATAGACTAAAAATAGATACATAAACTGTTCTTTGTTTGTTTTGTGTTCTGCTTTAGAATTATTGCTTATAAAAAGCCACGTATATAACCAGTGTTTTCACTCCTTCCCTTTTTTTACTGCTTTAACTCATAAATATTCATGAGTAGTCATCTCCCCCCCTCCCTTATTCTTTACCTTATTCTCTCTCACACATCTTGGAGTTAATATATTCCTCACGTGGCAGTGCATTAATAGTAAATTTGTAGCAAAAAAAAAATGAGAGGAATTGACAGCATCAGTTATCTTACTTTCAGTTCATCCATTCCTCCAGTTAAAGTAATACTGTAGTTAGTTTTGCGTTAATTTTGAATTGAAACAACTTGTGGATTCAACATTAGTGACTTAGCTCCAGGCTGAAAAGCGATGTTTCACAGCTGTGTCTGGTATAAAGTTTAAAGCCTGATTCACCTCTGATCACAATCAGAAGTGTGCTCTGTTGCATCTGTAACCACACCCAATCATGATGTCACAGGGTCATGGAGTACACCTGTACATCACTTCAGCAAGTTCAAACAAAAAAAACATTTTAAGATAGTGTTACGTTTCTCTTACCTATGTTCAAATGTTCGTTCAAACTCACATTGAAAAGAGACAGCTATAGTAAGTTTGGGCTCATTGTTTGCAGTAGCTTTATCATAATATTACATTTGACAATGTTTCCAATTACAACACATTGACTCCCTTGTATAACCAGACTTCCTCCTTCCTTCAGGTGCGTGTAAAACTCCTTCGCCTTGCACTCAGTCAGAGATGGAGTTCCCAGACGACTTCCTGCTCGCTGAGCTGGGTCACCTGCACTTCTACAACGACTCGTTCTTCACGAACAACTTCAGCAGGTCTGACAACGAGACCGACGCCTTACTGCCAACGGGGGTGAAGGTCACCATCGTGGTCGTCTACATGATTGTTTGTGTCATTGGCCTGGTGGGAAACTTCCTGGTCATGTATGTCATCATAAGGTAAGAGGAACATGAGTTTCTGAAGGTACATGCTACACAAAATTGAACTTGTTTCAAGACTCTGCTAGGACCAAGACCAAGGCAGGCTGCCACAATCAAGAAAACACTAGCTTCTTGAAACAAGTTGATTTGCATTGGAAACCTTAGTCCTAAGTCTTTTAGGATCCTTAACTTACACAAAGGACAAAGGCTATTTTTGCAGTAAGCCTCAATTTCAATTTCAGCCCCCTTGCTGAAAAGGATTTCTGTGGGATTTGATGGTCTTGAAAAACCTTGATGGCCCAGACTTCCAGTTTAGTGGCAGCACATTTTCAGCCATTCCTCCAAATCAAAGGCTTTGTAGTGAGGAATGATGATATGACCGCTGTTGCTATAGAAATCAACACTGAAAAATACTTACTTACTTAAATAATACAACATCTATAAATAATACAGTCAAAACATAAAAAAGGTTATTCAGTCTTTTTAGATCCGATGTGAGGATTCAGTTTTATTTTGTCACAGCTCAGTGTCACTGCTACTGCTCTGTCTCACTCCGTCTGTCAGATGTTCGAGCCTACTCGTGCTGCTGAGTTATTAGATCATAAATTGTTACATTGATTAAAATAAAATATGCAGTAGCAATCCTGATAGCAATTTAAGTCATTTATCAAGTTTTACTGTCAACTGAATACCTTAGTACTCTGAGAACATCTGATTTAAACTAAACTGCTAAATAACATCAGTTAATGACAATAATCAGCAGCTTGAGAGGGCATCACGCTCCTTCGAACATATTTTGCCAACATCTACCACTCAAGGTGATCTTTCAAAGCACACAAGCCACCCTCAGCATGTGTCTACACGTGTTTGTATGTGTGTGTGTGTACACAAGCCCAATATTTTTGTGGACAGCCTGGCAGGCAACTGTACCAGTGATGTGTGCCGCTGTTGCACATGCACGCACAGTTTTCCCTGTGGATTAGATTGAAACAAGCGTAGGTGAACACATGGTGTTGTGTGTGTTAGTGTGTGCAGTCATGGCTTGCCCTGTGGGCCGCTTCTGTCTGGTCATGTATATCATGTTGAACCAGGAGAGTGTGTGTGTGTGTGTGTGTGTGTGTGTTTGACTTTGTTGTTGGGATCCTTTTTTTTTTAAGTTTTGTTCTGTATTAAAGCTCAATATTTGTTTGGTCAAGACAGACATATCAAGCAGTGTCATATCACTTCTGATCTGCAACTGGAAAACATGGCAGTGTTATGTTTTCAAATGTCTTCCTACACTGTCCATCAGATTCTGAATACATTTGATAAAAAAAATAATGGCAATGCTGTTACAGAATTATGCCTAAAAAGTTGCTCTAAAATCTTCCATTGCTGTTAAATCAAGATAAGATCTGATGACTGTGAGGGACGTAGCGTATGATTCACATCATTTTTCAAAACGCCACCCTACCTGCAATCTACAAAAGCATCTGTATTTGTTGTGTTCAACCATTTATTTAGGTTTTTCTTTTAATTCTCTATATTGCCTGGCTTAAGATGTTGCTCAAGCCTGAGCAATTTGTGAGCTTATAAGTTTTATACAATCCTAGATGTATAATTGGATTTCAATTGACCCACTGTGGGTTCAACCCGAGCTGCAATATATTAATTCTGTTCTTCAGTTTCTTCCTGCATGGTATGAAACTTGGTATTAAACTTTAGAAAGCACTATACTGGTGATTTGGATCAGATATTTCCAAAAAAATGGAATGAGCAGAAAGTCATGATGACGATTTCATTCCAGACATGGAGATATCAGTTGATCTTTGTCTTGTTGACTGAATGAGATGGCATTCACTAATGTCAGTGGCTGATATTTATCTGTTGTTTTGCATCAATTGCACCGGTTAAATGTTGTGTTGCTTATTTCCAAAGCGGATATTGGAAAAATAATCACCTCCGTTTTCCAGTACGGACACAAATTGCATGCACATACCGATGTTCTCCATGCAGCAGCGAGGACAGTGAGCAGCTGTTCAGCGCTGCGTTTCACATCTTGGATGAGAACAGAAATATACTGAGCTGCAACAAGGTAGAGATGCTTATCTTTGTGGCTTTCTTTCTTTCCCTGGCACAAAAGGGCGAATAAATAACAACAAAAAATTCCAGTTTCTTTCAACCTGCCAGATCTTGCTTTTGTAGTTCTTTTTTTGGCCTTTTGTTGGCTTTATTTTTATAGAGACAGGAAAGGTGGGTGGAGAGAACAAGGAGCTGCAGGTTGGATTCGAACCCAGGCTGCTGCAGCAACTCCGTATATGGGTCGCCAGCTCTGCCGACTGAGCTAACCGGGTGCCCCCTTGCTTTTGTAGTTCTATTGGTTGTGCTAACTTTGCACTCACTACCTCTAAAATGACTTGTGCGATACAACGTATAGCGTGGCACCCTACAGCCCCCTACAGATATAAAAAAAAAATGTTTTTACATTAATCTTCAAACACGGAAAGCAAACACAGAAGTTAGTCGCCTGGAACAACCATTTTTGCTATCTGCATGGGGAGCTACATTCAGGGCAACCTTAGAACATCTGGTTGTTTTTAAGTGTAAGGCTGTGAATTAGAAGTGAGAAAATTGGTTTGTGCCTTCAAGTTTTTTGCAAGAACAGAATGACAAGATACACACCATGCAGTTTTCACGCTACTGCTGGATGATAGACACTCCAGTTGTGGCTATTACGCCAGGCTGAAATTATGGTTTATTATTTTTTGGACACGTGTGTGTGTGTGTGTGTGTTAGTTATAATTCAGTTTCCATGCTACCTCCATTGCTGTAGATAATTACTACCCTTGTTATACCTGTACTTACTCCGACATCTACATGCAGTTCGGTAGACAGAAAGACAGACAGACACATACACGCACACAGGGAATCATTCCATCTGTGCACCCACACAGTCTCACACACAAAACATGCAAGCACTTTCTGAAACACACACACACACACACACACACACACACACACACACACACACACACACAGGTGTTAAATCACAACTGTAGTCAACTCACTCTCCTGCTTAACAGTGTCATCTCAGCTGTTGCCCTCAGTAAAGATGGTTGCCCCCGACAACTTGCCCCCATTGCGGGTGTAAGAAGGCTGTAGCTTCCATCATTTAACTGTGTCAGGTTGGCTGAAAGGGCTGATTACACAAGATGGCCAACCACAATGCTTTCCATCAACATGAGGCAGAGCAGAGCGCAGGTGTCTGGCCTCATTGGCCTCCAATCCCCAGCAAAGATTCAGTGGTCAATTGCTGTGATCTCATTGGATAGTTTTACTCACACAGCTCCAGCTCCATGACTACATGTATGACATTCATATTGTACCCAACACATCTGTGCACATAAAAGCTGTGCTACACTATGTATTTTGCAGTGTTTGTTTTTTTCTTTATGGCCAATTAGAGATGTTTTCTGGTAAACATCATAGTATGCAGGTATGATATTGATTTGTTGTGCTGTGCCTCAAAACATGGCCTTCATTGATGTTCAGTGTTGCAGTCAGGGAGCTACATGCAGTGTTACGCCCCTGTCTAGGGGGAAGGAGCGCCACATAAATGTGTGATGAAAATGAACCAATAATTCTACCCCGAATCCCAAACCAACAACTAACACAGTGTTAACAATCAAGTGATGTGATTTATTTACAAACAGGTGAAACAAAGTGCAACAAAGACTAAACAACAAACGTCAGGGTGAACCAAGGCCAAAACAACAAACAAAACAGGGCTAACTTCCTTATCCTTACTAATCCCTATGCAATATAAATAAAATACAGTTACTAAACCTAACTCCCTAACCTAATGAAAAACAGGAGAAAAGTAGTACAAAGAAAATGGCAGCTCACCCTTACGATACTCACTAAACACAATCATACGAAAACACTATCTTCTAAGATCTTAACAATTCACACTAACGCAAAAACACGCCAAAAAAAAAACAAAAAACGCAGAAGGTTCTGTCGAAGAACTTCTGTGCAGTGCAGCGTTTTGAATCCCCGGCAGATGTTGCTGCTCCCTGGGAGAACCAATCAGCAGGCGACACTCCACAAGCCGAGCCCACGGCATGGACCAGTCAGAGCCGACCTGCCGTCAAAGATCTTACAATCGACAGGCTGCACACTCCTGCAGAGAAACAGGGACAAAAAAACACCAACACACACCACAGACGGAACCAATACCATAACATAATACTAATAATACGGCCAGGGCCGTAACGTGCAGTATGTGAACTAGGGCTGTAGCGATTCCTCGAGTAACTTGATTATGAAAAATCATTGATCAAATTATTTGCAGAAAGATCATATTGAAATTATTTTGACAGGTATTGAGATATCTAGGCCAGGGCATCTCTGTAACACCACAATACTTAATTTATGTTTTATCAAACAATTACAACTTCTGATTTGTATATTAGACTTGGCTATATTCCGATTTCGTTCACACAAGATAGGCACATTCAATATATATATATATATATATATATATAAATAAATCTCTCCATAGACAAATCATACTGGCTAGAGGCACCGTAAAGAGCTTGAAAGTATTAAAAAATAATCTTAGACCCAGAGTGCAGGTCAGAGCATCAACCCAGTGCTTTGAATTTAAATTAATATCCAATTATTTAAAGGTCGAATGTGTAAGATTTAGAGGGATCTACTGGCAGGATATGGGAGAAATTGAATATCATGTTCATTATGTTTCCATTGGAGTATAATTACTTGAAAATAAGAACAGTTGTTTTTTATATCTACAGAAGGGGCAGGTCCTCTTCCACAGAGTCTGCCATATTGAACGGCCATGTTTCTACAGTTGAGCAGAACGGACAAACCAAACAGCTATGGTTTCTCCTACACACTTGGAGTGTTGAGGCCAATGTGAAAATTATTTTTTGGGGCTTTTATTGCCTTTATATGATAGTGACAGCTGAAGATAGACAGAAAAGGGGGGCAGAGAGAGGGGGGATGACATGCAGCAA